ACACTGTAACTCTTACTGATAAACCTCCTGGTGATATAAACAGTCCCAGATCACGCCCCCTGCATTTACTGTAAGCCTGCATGGAGTGAAGCTCAGGCAGTGTCAAATAATTACTTTAGAATTCTGTTTTCAATTTGTAGTGTCATCAATCATGGCTTGCGGTGAGAGATTTATGAAGTTCCACCCAATTAGCATTCCACACCAATCTTCCCCATTGCAAGGCAGCCATGGTCATTTGTCAGTGTTTTGTTAAACATTGTCAGTAGAGCTCTCTGGAGCTGGCTGCACCTCCACAGAATACTGTACCGATAATACAGTCCCAGAATACATCCGGCACTATACTGAGTCCCAGAATACAGCCAGTGCTGTACTGAGTCCCGGAATACAGCCAGTGCCTTACTGAGTCCCGGAATACAGCCAGTGCTGTACTGAGTCCCGGAATACAGCCAGTGCTGTACTGAGTCCCGGAATACAGCCAGTGCCTTACTGAGTCCCGGAATACAGCCAGTGCTGTACTGAGTACTGGAATACAGCCATTCTGAGTCCCGGAATCCTGTACTGAGTCCCAAAATACAGCCAGTGCTGTACTGAGTCCCAGAATACAGCCAGTGCTGTACTGAGTCCCGGAATACAGCCAGTGCTGTACTGAGTCCCGGAATACAGCCAGTGCTGTACTGAGTCCCGGAATACAGCCAGTGCTGTACTGAGTCCCAGAATACAGCCAGTGCTGTACTGAGTCCCAGAATACAGCCAGTGCTGTACTGAGTCCCGGAATACAGCCAGTGCTGTACTGAGTCCTGGAATACAGCCAGTGCTGTACTGAGTCCCAGAATACAGCCAGTGCTGTACTGAGTCCCAGAATACAGCCAGTGCTGTACTGAGTCCCAGAATACAGCCAGTGCTGTACTGAGTCCCAGAATACAGCCAGTGCTGTACTGAGTCCCAGAATACAGCCAGTACTGTACTAAGTCCCAGAATACAGCCAGTGCTGTACTGAGTCCCAGAATACAGCCAGTGCTGTACTGAGTCCCAGAATACAGCCAGTGCTGTACTGAGTCCCAAAATACAGCCAGTGCTGTACTGAGTCCCAGAATACAGCCAGTGCTGTACTGAGTCCCAGAATACAGCCAGTGCTGTACTGAGTCCCGGAATACAGCCAGTGCTGTACTGAGTCCCGGAATACAGCCAGTGCTGTACTGAGTCCCAGAATACAGCCAGTGCTGTACTGAGTCCCAGAATACAGCCAGTGCTGTACTGAGTCCCAGAATACAGCCAGTGCTGTACTGAGTCCCAGAATACAGCCAGTGCTGTACTGAGTCCCAGAATACAGCCAGTGCTGTACTGAGTCCCAGAATACAGCCAGTGCTGTACTGAGTCCCTGAATACAGCCAGTGCTGTACTGAGTCCCCAGAATACAGCCAGTGCTGTACTGAGTCCCAGAATACAGCCAGTGCTGTACTGAGTCCCAGAATACAGCCAGTGCTGTACTGAGTCCCAGAATACAGCCAGTGCTGTACTGAGTCCCAGAATACAGCCAGTGCTGTACTGAGTCCTGAAATACAGCCAGTGCTGTACTGAGTCCCAGAATACAGCCAGTGCTGTACTGAGTCCCAGAATACAGCCAGTGCTGTACTGAGTCCCAGAATACAGCCAGTGCTGTACTGAGTCCCAGAATACAGCCAGTGCTGTACTGAGTCCCAGAATACAGCCAGTGCTGTACTGAGTCCCAGAATACAGCCAGTTACCATACTCAGTCGCAAAATACAGCAAGTTCCTCTCTCAGTCCCAGAAAACCAAGGCACAGTAATAAAACTATTTTTATGGCTAGGTTTCCTTAATCAGTTAGAAACCAGTATTTTTGTTTATGGAACAAAATTACATGAGTATATTTTTGCATTCAAATTCTACTGATAAAATGTTCAACAAATAATTCATGGATTCATGATTTGAAACAGACTCATTATCCCCCGCCGCGCGTTTAGTGCGAAGCCGGGGATGTAGTATTAGGCTCTGTCCGTCCGACGGGTGGGCGCATTTAATTGGAATATCTTAAGAACCATTCTCTAGATTCTTTTTCATATTTGGTACCTAGTTTCATCACAGTATAAGAAACGTCCAACTCAGGTTTGGTGACCTTGACCTTCATTTCAAGGTCACAAGGGGACTTTAATGTTTTACCTGCATGTTAAGCTATATCAATCAATGGATTTTCTTCATATTCACCAAGCTTTATCTAGGGAAGGCGCAGGGCCCATTCAATTTTGGTGACCTTCACTTAATTTTCAAGGTCAGAGACACTTTGAAGATTTCAGCATATTAACCTACATGTTATGCTTGTCAGCGAGATACTTCAAGAACCATTCAGATTTTCTTCATATTTGACACCAACCTTCATCTTAATTTTCAAGGACCTTCACATAATTTTTAGGGAGACACTTTGAAGATTTCAGCATGTTAACCTGAATTGTCAGCAAGATATTTTAAGAACGGTTCACTGGATTTTCTTCATAGACTTTTAAGACTTCTCTTGAATGTTTTTCAATAAGCAATTTCTTTAGTACTAGTTTTGCATATTTCATACACTATGACATTCATGTCAAGGTCAAAGTCAGTCTTGAAAATATGTGTGTGTGTGTGTGTGTTTGTTTGAACAACTAAAGAGCCAGATGCCAAGAGAGGTTGATTAGTCATGTTTTTGTTGACCTTTAACTTTATCTTAAACTTTCATTACTTTATAAGTTTGATTTGATAATTTGTCGAGGGGGATTATGTCACCTTAGTGACAATGCTTGTTATGATTTGTGATTGACGATGAAATCTCACAAACATTCTGAACAAACTCTGCTACAAACAAAGAAATTTAGCATTCACTCACTCACTCACTCACTCGCAACCTCAGTCATACATACATGCTGTCATAGGTTGATCCAGTTCTTTGTGCAAGAAACTTGAAAGTAATAATTTTAGAATGTTACTATATCAGCTACTGAAGACAAGAGTGTACCATCATGCTGTCATCAAATATTCCTGTGTTCCTCTAATTTCATGGGCACAATGTGTGAAGCCCATTTCTGGTGTCCCCCACCGTGATGTTGCTGGAATGTTGCTAAAAGTTGGGTAAAACCAAACCAAGTCAGTCAGTCCTTTAATTTCAAACTTGATCAGGAAATGTGACATGTCTTTGACATTGTTGACAGTGACATCTATCAACAGTCCTTCAGTGCAGAGAGACATTTCTTGCTTGACTCTGGCAAATCAGAACCTGTTCTGCAACCTGAATTCTGACTCCATTGTCTGACTCTAATATGAACTGAGTTTAACTCTAGGCAATAATCAGCAATAATCCCCAGGAAGAGAGCTATTCCAGAAGAGACAGGTCCTCCTCAGACTGACTGTGCCACACATTAGACACAACACATGGCACCTCCTGACATCCGAGATAACCTGGAGGTGTAGCGATGACAGGACAGACATTGATGTGGCAGGAAGTTCCAGATTGACTGTGCCACACATTAGACACAACACATGGCACCTCCTGACATCCGAGATAACCTGGAGGTGTAGTGATGACAGGACAGACATTGATGTGGCAGGAAGTCCTCAGATTGACTGTGCCACACATTAGACACAACACATGGCACCTCCTGACATCGAGACCTGGAGGTGTAGCGATGACAGGACAGACATTGATGTGGCAGGAAGTTCCAGATTCAACACATGGCACCTCCTGACATCCGAGATAACCTGGAGGTGTAGTGATGACAGGACAGACATTGATGTGGCAGGAAGTTCCAGATTGACTGTGCCACACATTAGACACAACACATGGCACCTCCTGACATCCGAGATAACCTGGAGGTGTAGTGATGACAGGACAGACATAGATGTGGCAGGAAGTCCTCAGATTGATTGTGGCAGCAAGTTCCAGATTGATTGTGCCACACATTAGACACAACACATGGCACCTCCTGACATCCGAGATAACCTGGAGGTGTAGTGATGACAGGACAGACATTGATGTGGCAGGAAGTCCTCAGATTGACTGTAGATACACAGGAGGATCCACAGGTGTGGGCTGGAGATGCTCACCCTGATTTTAGATCATTAACATTGAAAGGTGGTGATGCATCAGTCTGTATTCAATCAAGTCTGGAACAGCCAATCCAGTGATTCACACTATTAGCATTATAAAAGCATGCTTAACATTGATATATGCATGGACAATCCAGTGATTGACTGTATGAACATTGAACCATGCAACTGGGATATAATGTCTTGCAGTCAACCAAATCACCATTCTGTTGTCTTTTATGACAATACATATAGTCTTACCTAATATCCCGCAAGTTTTTTATCCCCCGCAACTTCGTTGTTGCGAAAGAAACGAGTTCCGTCCATCCGTGCGTACGTCCGTGCGTCCGTCCATCACACTTTGTCCGAAGCATATCTCCTAAACTATTGGTGATAGCTTAACCAAACTTGGTACACATGTCAACCATGATCCCTAGATGTGCCTTTTGGGGGTTAGACCCAGATACGAATTGTATTTTTTGCTGTTTCCATGGAAACGTGACTAAGTCTGTGACTATGAGGATGTCATCTTATTCGGAGCGGATCTTCCAAACCATACGTGCTAGCTTCATCAGACTTGGTACATATTTCAACCATGATCCCTAGATGTGCCTTTTGGGGATTAGACCCAGATACGAATTTTATTTTTTGTTGTTTCCATGGAAACGTGACTTAGGCTGTGACTATGAAGATGTCATCTTGTCCAGAGCAGACCTCCCAAATTATACTATACATGCTGGGTTCATCAAACTTGGTACACATATCAAGCATGATCCCTAGATATGCCTTTTGGCCCAGATATGAATTTTAGTTTTTGCTATTTCCATGGAAACATGATTTATGCTGTGACTATGAGGATGTCATGTTGTTGCATTTCCATGGCAACAAGTTAGGCTTCAACTGATAATGGTGGTAGTGCTCCTTTCTGGAGCAGATCTTAAAAACCTTTCAATACTCTCCTTCCACTTTGCTGTATACATTCCAAAACATTTGACATAATCATAAATAGTAGACATATTCCTAAAGAGTATTTTACCGTTGGGGGGGGATATTGATAACTTTGTCTTCTTATGTTTGAAGTACAGCAATGGACATGTATTTCTGAGAGTAAATGTCGTTCAAAGTGTGAACTTACTGAACCACATCAACTACAATATGTGCTTGTTTTCAACAAAAATACCTGACAAACACAATTGAACTAAAGCACTGTTTTTATTTATTTAGTGCTTGTGAAACAATATGTACCTGACCTTTTCTGAAAAATCATGGACCGGTGGTTTGTAAACTGTAACTTCCAATAATGGTCACTCCTACTGCGATGGCTCTCTTACGAGGGCATATACTCTCTTACTAGGGCATATACTCTCTCACTAGGGCATACTCTCTTACTAGGGCATATACTCTCTTACTAGGGCATATACTCTCTTACTAGGGCATACTCTCTTACTAGGGCATATACTCTCTTACTAGGGCATACTCTCTTACTAGGGCATATACTCTCTTACTAGGGCATATACTCTTACTAGGGCATATACTCTCTTACTAGGGCATATACTCTCTTACTAGGGCATACTCTCTTACTAGGGCATATACTCTCTTACTAGGGCATATACTCTCTTACTAGGGCATATACTCTCTTACTAGGGCATATACTCTCTTACTAGGGCATATACTCTCTTACTAGGACATATACGGTACCCTGATGTTAATGCGACTCGGCATACATAAAAAAATGATAACAGTTTTGTCCTGGACAACTGCCATTATTTATTGGTGAGCAAACAACACACACGGCTGATTGGAAGCAGGGCCTGTGTTTAATGGAGAATAAATCTAACCTTCAAGAAACAGCAAGATAAAAGATAGGTCATTGATGGCAGCGGACCAGTCAAAGAGTGGCTGTTAAAGTATGTTTATGTATGTCAAGGGTCGTAATCACTACAACCTGGGAAAAAATCATTCCACATGTTGGATGGAGATAAGATTCTGACATAAAACATCGGTGGGGTGAGTGGGCCTCTCCCAGAGACTGACCACCTGTTGATGTGGAGAGATTGGAGAGGGTTGTCCGGGACTGAGATAAGTCTCCTAACCTCTGGCAAATGTTGGACCATGTTCATAGACAGGGTACTTGTAACAACCTGCTGGTCTTGTCAAGTCTTCCAATATGTTTGTAGTTTGTCTCAGACTTCAGCTTCATCACAGGCAGTCTGGAAATAATCAGAGTCAGACAAACCAGTCTTCAACATGAAGCAGGCATCAAGTGAACCTTGTCATAGCTCTGATGCTAGTCTGTCTCACAGTCCCGGAACAACAGTATTTTCCCTTCTGCCTAGAGACAGCCTCCGTGGTGTAGTGGTTAGAGCGTCCCGGAGAGCGGAAGGTTGCGGGTTCGATCCCCAACCGCATCATACCAAAAGACGTTAAAATATGGTACTTGTTGGTCCCTGTCTAGCGCTCGGCATTAATGGGTACAACAAGGACTGGTCGGCTAGGAGTCGGTAGCCGCACATACACATAGTGACATACACACGCATGCACGTCGTCATATGAGCGAAATATTCTCAAGCACGACATTAAACCCAATTTCACCTCACCTGACCTCCATCCTGCCTAGCCCCACCTGCCTTACTCCACCTGCCTTCTGCCTCCATTCTGCCTAGCCCCACCTGCCTTCTGCCTAGCCCCACCTACCTTCTGCCTAGCCCCACCTGCCTTCTGCCTAGCCCCACCTCCCTTCTACCTAGCCCCACCTGCCTTCTGCCTAGCCCCACCTGCCTTCTGCCTAGCCCCACCTGCCTTCTGCCTAGCCCCACCTGCCTTCTGCCTAGCCCCACCTGCCTTCTGCCTAGCCCCACCTCCCTTCTGCCTAGCCCCACCTCCCTTCTGCCTAGCCCCACCTCCCTTCTGCCTAGCCCCACCTGCCTTCTGCCTAGCCCCACCTGCCTTCTGCCTAGCCCCACCTGCCCTTCTGCCTAGCCCCACCTGCCTTCTGCCTAGCCCCACCTCCCTTTCTGCCTAGGCCCCACCTGCCTTCTGCCTAGCCCCACCTGCCTTCTGCCTAGCCCCACCTCCCTTCTGCCTAGCCCCCCACCTCCCCTTCTGCCTAGTCCCACCTGCCTTCTGCCTAGCCCCACCTCCCTTCTGCCTAGCCCCACCTCCCTTCTGCCTAGCCCCACCTGCCTCTTCTGCCTACACCTCCTTTCTGCCTAGCCCCCTTTCTGCCTAGCCCCACCTGCCTTCTGCCTAGCCCCACCTCCCTTCTGCCTAGCTCCCACCTCCCTTCTGCCTAGTCCCACCTGCCTTCTGCCTAGTCCCACCTCCCTTCTGCCTAGCCCCACCTCCCTTCTGCCTAGCCCCCACCTCCCTTCTGCCTAGCCCCCCCTTCTGCCTAGTCCCACCTGCCTTCTGCCTAGCCCCACCTCCCTTCTGCCTAGTCACTCCTCCCTTCTGCCTAGCCCCACCTCCCTTCTGCCTAGCCACACCTCCCTTCTGCCTAGCCCTACCTCCCTTTTGCCTAGCACCACCTGCCTTCTGCCTAGCCACACCTCCTTTCTGCCTAGCCCCACTTGCCTTCTGCCTAGCCCCACCAGCAATGCTGAAGCCCAAATGTCCTCAGGTTCAGGTCTTGAATCTCCCTATTCACTGGGCCTACTTTTCAATTAAAAAGGAATTGTTTGTTTGTGTCAAAGTGACATATATTCAGAGTCTAATGGTGAATCTACTAGAATGTTAAAATTTGGATATTATGGAGGTCCCTACTTTCAAATGCCATAAACTATTTGTGAAGCCATTAGGTAGGAATTTTTTTTTTTTACTTATTTTTTTAGAAGGAAAGTACAAACTAATAACACATGTATCAATGTGTAATTGTTCATTCAATCAAGCTTGCGGCCATCATATCGAATTTCTCTATCAGAATGACCGATATCTGTCTGTGCCGGTGAAAAAACAATGGTATCTGAAACCTTATTTTATTCAGTCCGCTTAAAACAAATAGGGTTCTCACCAGAATTCAATTTCAAGTGTCGGTTGGTAATCGGAAACACAACTTGTTTTTCATGTCTCACCTCCACTGACTGTAGGTGGCTGGAAGTACATACTGACCCATGGCCCATGTCTTTCAGGTTTTAGTTTCATATCCACTCATTGTGTTGTCAAATCCGTGTGATTTCCTGGTGCTGTCCTAGGTGTGAAACTGAGTACAGGACTCTGGTTCCCATTTCTGTTGAAACATCCTTCGAAAGGTACTATGGCTTTGAACTTTTGATGGGCCCTGTTCCATAAAGCAAGTGAAGTCTACATTCTACAAGGACTCTGAAACCTCAATCACACTGGGATTTTAGATGTTGAATGTGGTTTGTTTTGATCAAAATTATAAAAATTCAGAGAGCTGACAGTAGTCCTAATGACATCTTAAATTTTAGCATTTACCAGGGTGCTGTTGTACCATACAACCTTAGCACTCTGACTGTCATAAATCTGTGTTATGGTATAGGAGTTCTGATCACCTTAGGGTAGTCTTGCTCCAAGGCTGTACCGAACGCTAAACCCATGGGTATATGATAATTCTTTCCTTTAATGAGTGAGTGAGTGAGTTGAGTTTTACGCCGCACTCAGCAATATTCCAGCTATATGGTGGCGGTCTGTAAATAATCGAGTCTGGACTAGACAAGCCAGTGATCAACAGCATGAGCATCGATCTGCGCAAATTGGGAACCGATGACATGTGTCAACCAAGTCAGCGAGCCTGACCACCCGATCCCGTTAGTCGCTTTTTTGTGGCATAGTGTAGATATGTGGACAGTACAGGAGACTAGTCTCTTGTTAGTGTGGTTTTCTTAATTATCATTCCCTTGGCTTCATGTTTAGTTTAAACACTGCATATTGAATTACAGTGAGACAGAATGTGATACAGTGAGATTGAATGACTGCAATATCTCGTCCAGTGGAATCCCCGTGAAATGTTAAAAATGAACTTTTTACTTAGGGCACAACTTGAAAGCTTTTAGCTTAAAGAGAGTAAGGGTTCTGATAAGAGGTTATGTTTAAACCTTGTCTATATCTGCAGAAGACATTCCTCAGGTGTACATAACTAACTGGTGTGGAATGAGACGTAAACAGCTTGGGGGTTTCAGCTGCCAGGAGTTCCCCCGCCCCAGTCAATGTCAGACAATCTCATGTCAACTTGTACATTCCTTGGAAGCTGAGTTAAATGTTAACTTCTTCACTTTACTTTTCAAACATGTGATTGTTTATCTTGTTTATTTCCTATTTGTTGAAATGTCTGCCAATATGTTGATGTGTGGAAGTCATTAGTTGTGATGGGTAAGTTGTGAGGTGTATAACATGTTGGCTTCCACGCCTCAGCTGAGACACGTGTAACGCAGGATGAGAGTTGCACGGCCAAGTCGCAGGGGAGATGGACTTCACAGATAAAAACAACACTTCAACGATTTTCTACAAAGAAATGAGAAAAATATTACTTGTTCACTTTTCATCACATATGACTTAACATGTTGAAAATAACATACTTAAATGTTTAATTACTTGACGGGAGGATTGGGCAGATGTATGAGCTGGTGAGCAGCTGGGGGTAATTGCCAGCTTCTGATGGGGGGGGAAACTCCCTAGAGTGCACTTCCAGGCTGCATCTCGTCTGTGTCTTGACTTACTCCACCAGGTTAAGTTCTGGTCGGCCAGGAGACTTGTGTCAATGTGTTCAAGAGGCAGCAGAGAGTGCTCCCACTAACCCACTTTCCTACTCCACACCTCATTGGGCTTGTAGGGTCACCTAGTTGAATGGTGTGGTTAGTTGTAGGGATTCATCTGGCACTCTGATGTCTGTTGTGTTGGAAAATAGTTTCGAAGAGAAGTCTCACTTAGGATTGTGGTTTAGAATAGGTCATTGCAAACATCCTAAAAGGTTGTTTGATCAGCATTCTTGAAGCTTGTGAGTCAACAATAAGCATACGACTTTATGGATGCCAACTTGTTGTTTATTGCATAGAGTGATGTTTCACTGTAGATTCTTACAACATTAATAAGTGGTACATAAGTGGATGGGGCCAGGTGGGGAGCAAGAACAACAAATAAGCCGTTAAAAGTGACTTAAACTATGTGAGGGTACGTGTCTTGCTTGTCATCACACTGTAATATTTTGTGTAAAGTGGCAATTTTTGTAAGTTCTTTTTTTTTATAGTCCGTGATATTTTGCTTGGAGTGTTTAAATTAATTCGGGAGAATAGTGAGCGCTACGGTCATTATCAATAGTATTTTATCAAAATGAACTGGGAAATATCAGTTGGGTGTTTCCAGTGCTGATTGGTCAGTGTGCTGGTACAATCAGACCAGGAGGGATGGACTGGAGGTCTGCAGCGGCCACTGCGGCGAATATAATACACCATGAATATTGGGTAGTGAATACGAAGATTGGGTAATAAATACAATAACATGTCGGCTGGTGATGTATTATTCATTATATCCAATGAAACAACATAATTCTTTGACATATGATAACCATGTTGACGGGGTTAATTCATCACACGAATGACCAGTAACCACATCACTGTCATTTGAATATATGTGAACTTTAACTATTATCTTGCCTGATGTGGACATTCTATTTTTCAAATCTCGCATTGATAAATAACACCCAAATTCAAGTAAGACCACTCCATTTTAAGAAAAATCATGAATATTCTATTATAGTGATCGAGAATATGAAATTGAATTCATGAAGGGATACAGTTAGATTCACTGAATATATGATCTAATTGTAACAGCTGCAATGAGATATTTTTTTGCCTGCTTCCATACACAAGACACCTAGGTGTGTGATGATCATGAATGTGTTTGAAACAGTGGTTGTTCTGGGATATCATCCTCAAATAACCAGGTTCTGTCAGCATGGGTGACTGTGCTCAGTGTGTACATGTTGGAGAAACTCAATCAAGTGTCAGTTTTGACAGCAGCAATCAGTGGAAGTCATTTCAATAGAGTGGCAGGTTTGTTGTTCAGCTACTTGTAACAAAGTTCCACTTCCTGTTTAACAGGAAGTGTATCCTCTATGTAGAGATGCATATCTATCTGTCAGTGATTGTGTGAAATAAACCCCTGATACAGTCCCATGTTTTAGTCCCATGTCTCTCAGACCCTAAAACTATAGTAGTGTCACTTCCCTCCAGCCCTTTCAGCAAAGCAAAAGCCCCAAATGAAGCAAGACTTGATTTCATCAGGTTCTGAATCTGCCAGCTCACTGGGTCCACTTTACAAGTTATTGGAAGGACTGGATGTAATCAATATTAGGTATTTTCAGAGAGTCAGTGAGTGAGTGAGTTTAGTTTCATGCCGCTTTTAGCAGTATTCCAGCAATACCACAGCAGGGGAAACCAGAAATGGGCTTCACATATTGTACCCATGTGGGGAATTGAAACCATGTCTCTGGCGTGACTAGCAAACGCTTTAACCACTAGGCTACCTAACCACCCCTTTCCCAGAGAGGAAGTAGTAGTCTATCCCATGTCAGTTTGTTGATTACTGCGGGCCTGTAGCTAATAAGGTGACGGACAGGCTGGCTGCTATAGAGGCAGTGGTGTTCACATGAGGTTGTCACATTCACACATCATCAAAATACAGGAAGTTTTCCCATTGCTACATCCAGAGACTACCCTTCTGAAGCTGATGTGAAGTACGGCATGTGTGATGGTCTTGGAGAGTCCAAACTGTCCATCAACCACATTTAAACAAACACACGAAACATTTAGTGCCGCTCCTGATGGCTGCTTATAGGATGGGCTTCTCACTGCCGATCATTCCTCTCTATACCCTGTCTGTCAGATGAGATTACCATGTGTACAAATGTTATCTTTTTTGTGACTTCATGACCATTTAGTCTCTGAAATGACTTCATTTAACGAGTCTGGAATATTCTTGTTGTATATAATTACTTCTCGACATAGCAGACAGTTGTGTTGAATGTGTACAACTGTATCTGCTCAGCAGGCTCACCTGAGGTAAAATCAAGAGTATTAGAGACCTCGTGGTCCAGAGAACAGTACGCTTGAAGATAATACATACGTAGATCTGTAAATTCAAACTTTCAGGTAGTTCAATACATGAACAAATACTTGCATTTAGCTGTAAATCTTCTTTGAGTTTAGTTTTCATATTTTGCTTGATGTTTGGCAGGAAATAGAAAAGGGCAGGGGCCATTGGGCCGTTTTGCACATTAGAATAAAAATGGCCCATGAAAATTTTGAAGTTTACAATGTGCAATGGCCCATTCTAAATTCAGAAAATGGCTAATAATCCTGAAAATGGCCCCTTTGCAAAGTTCTCTATCCCAGTCCCTGGTTTGGTATTATCAGAAGACAATTAGTGAGAAAGCAAGTGTCTCGTCTGAAGCTAACAATTTCAGTTGTAGTTTAGAGATAAACATTTACTGTCTGAGCTTACTAGACTGAATAGAATATTCCTGCATATGGGGTCTGCTGGACTCATGGCTAAATTGGCAGACATTTGCCATGCTGAGTTTAAGGCTCAATGTTTATGATGTTGTGAACGAGCCCGAGCTGCCCAATTTCCTACCAGGAGTAACACATAATATGGCAATCTGAAGTTTATATGGAATATCATTTATCAGCTGACAAGTACTTAAGTTGAGTGATGTGGAGATGCTTGTATCTGTAAGTGTTTGTTTGAAACTGTCTCATGTTTCACGGCAGCATGGCTCCTTACACCATGAACTTCTAACTTTTGGAGACATGAGTATGCTCCTCTGTGACTGTTTCTTGTTTCTGAGATCTATATCACAGGGATGGATTAACCAAGAATGTCTACTTGTCCAAAATGACTTTACACATACCAGTGGCCCCTCCTCACAAAATGTTCTGCAAGACCTGTTCATGTGTATGAGATTTATGTTTGTGTTTCAGCAAGACCTGTTCTTGTGTTTCAGATTTACGAGTGTTTCAGCAAGAACAATACTCTTGCTTGTCATTTACATTTGTATTTCAGCAAGACCTATCCTTGTGTTTCAGATTTATGTTTGTGTTTCAGCAAGACCTGACCTTGTGTTTGACAATTACATTTGTGTTTCTGTCTTTGTGTTTGACATTTACATTTGTGTTTCAGCAAGACCTGACCTTGTGTTTGATGTTACGTTTTGTTTTCTGACTGTGTGTTTGACATTTCACGTTTGTGTTTCAGCAAGACCTGACCTTGTGTTTGATGTTTACGTTTGTGTTTCAGCAAGACCTGACCTTGTGTTTGACAATTACATTTGTGTTTCTGTCTTTGTGTTTGACATTTACATTTGTGTTTCAGCAAGACTTGATCTTGTCTTTTGAGATTTATGTTTGTGTTTCTGACTGTGTGTTTGACAATTACATTTGTGTTTTTTTTGAGATTTTCATGTTTTTGAGATTTCTGACTGTGTGTTTGACAATTACATTTGTGTTTCAGCGAGACCTGTTCTGGTTCAGCCTCTTCTGTCTGACATTCCTCTACATTATCTTCTACTTCTACTTCTGGCTCATCGTCAGAAACAGCTTCGATGACCTCAACTGGTGAGTGTAATACCTTCATGTCACTTGTTACACAATCATGTTGTGATTGTCAATGATGTTGATATGAAACTGGTTTGATTTCTACACAAGTGTTATAAAAGTCATTATTTTCAGCATGAGACACACACACATCGCGAGTTGTTTGTGTGGATGTTTGTGACTGGGACACACGCTGTCCGAAGTGTTCAGGTCTGTCTAATGAGGCGTTTAAAATTTTACAAACGTGCTTGTGCCAGACGTTTGGCAGACAGGGCTAGGACTAATTCTGCGGGGTCTGGTCCATCTCCCGCTGAGAAACAATGCTTAGATCGCCCCACCCTCGCTGCTCACCGCTCTCAATAGCCCGTCTCTCCTGACGAAGATTGTATGGACGCTTCGTCGGATTCCTATTTATCAGAGAACGTTAGAAGGCTTTAGGGGAGCTTCCCTCACCCAGTTTAAGTTCTCTTGAGCGTACCATGGTGGTAATGACCGATATTTCTTCTACGCCAGACCTACATTATCTCGTAGGTCTGCTTCTTCGGAACGATCACAGACTTCGTGAACTTCTAAGCATTCATCGTCGAAGCGGGGATCAGCGCGGTTGGAACGTACCGCTCTCCTATTTTCACGGCAGGGAGGAGTCGTTCTAGGTCTCATTCACTTTCCCGAGCCGGCTCACCCCGCCGAGCCGGCTCACCCTGCCGAACCGGCTCACCCTGCCGAGCCGGCTCACCCCGCCGAACCGGCTCACCCTGCCGAGCCGGCTCACCCCGCCGAACCGGCTCACACAGCCGAGCCGGCTCACCAGTACATCTTCGAATTGGTTCACCTGACCGAACTGATTCACGTAATCAAATGGGTTCACCTGACCGAACTGATTCACGTCATCGAAGGGGTTCACCAGGACGAACGGGTTCACATTCCCAACTCAGTTCACCTCAACATAGGTTTCAGTTTGACACACCATCAGCGTTTTTGCTTCCCGTACTCGTTCAGTCTCACCTAGTAGAAGTGGTTTGCCATTTCGATTCGGTTCACCTAGCCATACGGTGTGTTTTCGTCAGAGTGGTGCTTGTAGTCGGTCTCATGCACTTCAGGTGAATCAGGATATCCCGTCTTGTCAGTCTAGACTCAGTAGCGTAATTTTGCGCACACTGTAGCAATTTTTACTTCCTCGGATCCCCAATCGTCATGTTCCTGGAGCAAACGTTGTCGGGAATGTGCTCCCTTATTAGGACGTTTTTAGAGCATGTAGACATACTTGCTCCCGATGGCTGGCAGACAGAGCTCGTTACACTTCAACAGTTGATCACCCGACAAACCCCTGATTTTTAATGACCGGTATTTTAACTGCTCGTCGTCTGCAGATTCCCAGGTCGGACGGTGATAATTTTATGGACGCATCATTAGCTGTCTTCTCGTAGTCCTCATCAAAACGCTCTGTGTTGCCAGTTGACTCACACATCCGATCTACATCGTCAAATCGCCGAACCGACTCACCACACCGAATTGGTTCGCCATACCGAAATGGATTCACCAGACTGAACCGTTTCGCCATACCGAATGGTTTCACCACACCCAATCGGTTCGCCATACCGGATGGATTCACCACACCCAATCGGTTCGCCATACACGAATGGATTCACCAGACCGGACCGTTTCGCCACGCTGTATGTGAATACGACATTTACTCAGTTCGCCATAATATTAAAACTGTTTCTTATCGCCGAAACAGTTCACATCATCGATTCAATTCACAGCACCGAAACGATTCACCTCGGCTGGGACATTTCACTTCGCCTAACCGGTTCATCTGAGCGTTCTAGATCTCTCCATTAGCTGAGATCATTTAACCGTTTCGGACTACCGAACCGATCCAGATCAGTCACGATTCAGATCACATCGAACTGATTCAGATCACGTCAACTTTCCGGCTCACCACCCTGAACTGATTTACCAGCCGGCTCGTACCGTTTCACCAGGTCGAAGGCTCCCTATCGTCGAACCAGTTCACCTGTCCGTTCAAGATCAATGTACAGAGGTAGTAGCTATGTGCTTCACCATGCCGATTTGATTTACATGTGATGTTAGTAGCGCAGTCATCTAGAGATATCACGCTCGGCACTTGACGGCCTGACGATCCCAGTTCTCAAGAGTCCTCCGTGACCGGGGCTCATCTCATTCCAGATTTAATCTACCATCCGATCTTCACTTTTGATGACTGATTCGGTTCAACGATTCTACCCTTCGGTGTAGATATCAGTTCTGCAACCACCCGATATGGCATAACTAGATACGCTTGCTAGCCAGGAATACTCTACAGCGCTCCGATGAGTCTTGTTACTACAGACTACTGGTAACAGCGTGTTTGTGTATCACTGGGTGCATTTGTTGCAGACGGCTCGTCATCTTCAGTTCCCTTTGTTTTACATGATAAGCAAGTTTCTGGACAGATATCAAATGGGTGAAGTTCTTGCGCATGGTACCAGCAATGTTTTGTCAAATAGCCAGCATAGCTCAGCCCGGAATTTATGGGTTGCAACTCACCCGGTTAACCAAAGTCCATGTTGTCCGTATATTTTGTCACTCGTGTGTAACGTTTGCAAATGGCGGACTTCTGTTTGTTTACCGGAATTTTGATGATTATAGTGACTATGAAGTGCCCTTGCAGAATTCTCTTGGTCCCACGAATCGGATACCAAGTCCAGCCTTTAAATGCAAGTAACAACGAACGCTGCCATTCCCGGTAAGAGTGACTGTGTCGGGATTTTGACAGCCAGTGGAGAGAGACTGCTTATTGAGGGTGACGGACAGAAACACTCGCGAACGGTTTGACAAGTCAAGCTCTGAGTTCAGAGGTCACTGCTTTATGCAAGGACTGTCACCAGGCAGCGTTCTACTACCTATATCACTCAACATGGCAGCACCATTATTTTGTTCGGCCAAAAGAAACGTTCCTGAGGTCACCGATCCTACGAATTTCTACGATTTGTTTATAATGTGAACGTTCCTGTAGATTGACTGACAATCTCCATGCGCCGAACATACTACATTGAGCACTCCGTCAGAACTGAAGTAGTTGCTCGACTTATTGAATGTTCTTATGTCAGGAGATATCTTTTTGTCAGAGGCAAGAGTGGTTAGACCTCTCATTTCCCTCGACCTGCGATGGCCGTGGGGTAACCTAGTGGTTAAAGTGTTGACTCGTCACGCCCATGACCCCGGTTCGATCCCCACATGGGCACGATGTGTTAAGCCCATTTCTGGTGCCCCCGCCTTGATTTTGCTGGATTAATGCTAAAGGCGGTGTAAAACTAAACTCAGTCAGTCAGTCAGTCCCTCGACCTGTGAGACGCCTACGTTCACATCCGGATACATCCAGAGTATCGGAGGTATCTTCGCTTTACTGTTATGGGGCGTCATTGATACCAATGGGGGATCCTGCTGTATGGGCATATGCGCAGCCCCGTGGTTTTTTACTCAGATACCCATTCTGATAACAATATACCTGCATTGTCGCAGCGTGACAATTGACAACAATATCGACAACTGTGTTCAAGCCCAGCAGGATCCAGTCGTCCTTCCCTTCCACAGTCAGTTCATCATCAAGTTGCTCACGCAATTAGGATGGCTGCTAAATTCGGAGCAATCAGGGGTAACACCGACCTGCTGGTTCTTCTTATGGGGACAATATTCAACACGTCAAGTCATGATGTTTGTGCCCCAGGATGGTGGGACAAGATTCAGTGCAACGCACCACTAGTGTTGATCCAACCCACACTTTTTCGCCAGTGGCAGAAGTTACTAGGGTGGTTGATGTTGACACAAGCACTGACTCACAGGGGCCAGCTGCAGCTTGCCCTCTTCAGATGTTTCTGTGCCCATACATCGGGGACGACAACCCCAGGGAGTTGATTCGTCTTCCCGCACAACTACATTCAGTCTTTTGTTGGTGGCTCAACAAGTGGAATGTTTGTGTTGGAGTCTCTAGGGTGCCCTTCATACCGACTCAACACCTATTCGTTGGCACATCTTGCAAGCTGGGGCGCTCACTTTCTCCATCAAGTGGCCTAGCAGTGGTCATCAGGAGAAAGGGCCCTTCATCACACCGAATTGGAATTCAGTATTGTCATTATCGCCTGTTCGGCACTCGGGACAACCATCAGCTTCAGCGCAGATGATCACCAGTTGCGATCATTTCTGCTTTGTGTACAATCTGAATAAAATTCTGAATTTTATTTCTGATTTGTGTGTTCGATTCTTCTGGGACTTGTGAGTTTCCGATTCAATTCCCCTTTCACCCTCCACGGGACGGTGTCAGTGGGGGTTGTGTCGAAGCAGGGGATGGCCCGATACTGGTCGTCAGACCTTGGAAATCGTGGTAATGCGACTGTTTACACTCGCTAAGCTGCGTCCTTTCACTTGCATGAAGGTAGTGACTGAACACCCCATTGCTTGGGAATCCCGGTCCCTGGAGCACTTGTGTTTAGTAAACAAGGGGTTCAAACTGACCATCGCAGGTCACAGGTCATCGCACAACACTCTCATATTGGCTACGAGCTACAACACTACGAGCCTACACTTTGACGGTTTTGCCACCACCTACGGCAGTCAAACCTCATGAAACCAGGGCATTGGCTTCTCATGGCGTTGCATAGAAACTGCTCGTTAACTGCCATAAGGGAGGATTGTTTTTGGCGATCTGACACAGTATTTTCATCTCATTACCTCAGAGATGTGTCGGTGACGGATATTCAAGGCCTTCATCAGTATGGACCACTCGTCCTTGCCCAGCAGTTATCAGCGGCACAACATCACAGATAATGAACTTCCTTGTGCTCCGATGCTATATGGATCCCACTGTGCAGTTGATCCCAAGTCGCGATCGTGTCTGCTTGTGTACAATCTGAATAAATCTGGAAAACTTTTTCAGATTTCCGTCTTTATTTCTTCCGGGATTTAGATTTCTCCTCTCATTTGTTTGAGACTACAGAGAGTCGCCACCTCACTTACTGTCCTCTGCTCCACGGAGTAATTAAGTCAGTGAAGTGAGTCTTTCCCGAAGTGTTACACTTCGTAGCGTTCATGCTCCTAAGTGCCTATACACATCTATGTGATCTTACTGTGGTAAGTAGTGGAAGTCATAAGATGATGTTGTGGTACTGAACGTTAAAATTGTGAGTTTTACCGATTCAATTTCTCTTTCACCCTCCTCGGGACGGTGTCTGTGGGGGTTGTTTCGAAGCAGGGGCTGGCCCGATACTAGTCGTTAGACTTTTATTACGGGGGTACCTTGGAAATCGTGGCGATGCGACTGATTACACTCGTTAAGCTACGTCCTTTCACTTTGTGAAGGTAGTGACTGAACACCACATTGCTCGGGAATCTCGGTCCCTGGGAGCAATTGTGCTTAGTAAGTCAATGGGTCGACTAATCCTCGCACGTAGTAACTTGGTAGTTATTGGCCTACCTTGTAGTTGCTTCCTACGGTTGTTTGGGCATAACACTTAGCTGTTATCGCTTGAATTTCGGGTAATCTATGACCCGCCTTCCTACCGTGGGATAAGTGCAAGTCGTGAGATAGGATAAGTTTAAAAATTTGAAAATTTTAACTATAAATTGTATATTTATATACTTATCCTATCTCACGAGATAAAGTCCCTCCCTACCTCCCCCACTACATAGATTACCACCGTTCCGGTTTTGTCCTTTTATGGCTCCAAGATCGAGAATGAGTATGTAAGGTGATCACGTGGGTGAGGACTGCGCATGCCTCGTGCTGTCATGGACTAGTGAGCACGACTGACACAGGAAGGCACGTTTAGCACGGGAGGGGCAAGGTAGGCCTTGGAGCAAAGTTTTAATTCGTTTCCACTCATGGTCGAATGAAGAGAGAGAGGTGCAAGTCGTGAGATAGGATAAGTATATAAATATACAATTTATAGTTAAAATTTTCAATAATTTGGTATTCCCCTACTACTTAGGCTATTTGTCAGTAGCCCTTGTGGCCTGGTAGAACCAAACTGGTTCATGCATGCTCATGCTCACACATATCGAATCATAAATGCAGTGAGTGAGTGAGTATGGTTTTACGCCACTTTTAGCAATATTCCAGCATTATCACGATCGGAGACGCCAGAAATGGACTTCACACATTGTACCAATGTGGGGAATTGAACCCGGGTCTTCAGCGTGACGAGCCAACGCTTTAACCACCTGGCTACCCCACCACCTACTCTAAGGAAGAAGGAACGAGAGAGAAATGTCCACAACAGAATTGTCTTGACAACCATTGCATGGACTGAAAGCAATCACCTCCACCGCCCCCCATACATGCAGTACTTTGAACATGAAGTCTTCATAACAGGACTTGTTGACCTGGCAAATGCATGTTGTTGTTTCCCAGGGACAACACAGAGTGTTGCTCTTTACCTCAATCACAGGACTGACTGGTCCAGACTTGAATATTTTCACAAACTGTCATCATATAGATGTAATATTGCAAGGTGTAAACAGGATGGAGGAGAGGGGATTGTTGTGTCCTTGAGTCACGCTCGGGGTTCTCTTTTCGGCAGCTTGTCTTGAACCGTGTGGAGCCTTGACAGTACCGAGTGGAGCCTTGACAGTACCGAGTGGAGCCTTGACAGTACCAAGTGAAGCCTTGACAGTACTGAGTGAAGCCTTGACAGTACTGAGTGGAGCCTTGACAGTACTGAGTGGAGCCTTGACAGTACTGAGTGGAGCCTTGAAAGTACTGAGTGAAGCCTTGACAGTACTGAGTGAAGCCTTGTGAAGCCTAGACAGTACTGAGTGAAGCCTTGACAGTACTGAGTGGAGCCTTGACAGTACTGAGTGAAGCCTTGACAGTACTGAGTGGAGCCTTGAAAGTACTGAGTGAAGCCTTGACAGTACTGAGTGAAGCCTAGACAGTACTGAGTGAAGCCTTGACAGTAGACAGTACTGAGTGAAGCCTTGACAGTACCGAGTGAAGCCTAGACAGTACCGAGTGGAGCCTTGACAGTACCGAGTGGAGCCTTGACAGTACCGAGTGGAGCCTTGACAGTACCGAGTGAAGCCTAGACAGTACCGGGTGAAGCTTAGACAGTACTGAGTGAAGCCTAAACAGTACTGAGTGAAGCCTTGACAGTACCAAATGGAGCCTTGACAGTACTGAGTGAATCCTTGACAGTACCAAGTGAAGCCTAGACAGTACCGAGTGGAGCGTTGACAGTACCGAGTGGAGCCTAGACAGTATCGAGTGAAGCTTTGACAGTACTGAGTGGAGCCTTGAAAGTACCGAGTGGAGCCTTGAAAGTACTGAGTGAAGCCTAGACAGTACTGAGTGGAGCCTTGACAGTACCGAGTTGAGCCTTGACAGTACCGAGTGAAGCCTTGACAGTACCGAGTGGAGCCTTGACAGTACCGAGTGAAGCCTTGACAGTACCGAGTGAAGCCTAGACAGTACTGAGTGAAGCTTAGACAGTACTGAGTGAAGCCTAGACAGTACTGAGTGAAGCCTAGACAGTACTGAGTGAAGCCTAGACAGTACTGAGTGGAGCCTTGACAGTACTGAGTGAAGCCTAGACAGTACTGAGTGGAGCCTTGACAGTACTGAGTGAAGCCTTGACAGTACTGAGTGAAGCCTCAGTAAGACAGTACTGAGTGGAGCCTTGACAGTACCGAGTGGAGCCTTGACAGTACCGAGTAAAGCCTAGACAGTACTGGGTGAAGCTTAGACAGTACTGAGTGAAGCTTAGACATTATTGAGTGAAGCCTAGACAGTACTGAGTGGAGCCTAGACAGTACTGAGTGAAGCCTAGACAGTACTGAGTGGAGCCTAGACAGTACTAAGTGGAGCCTAGACAGTACTGAGTGAAGCCTAGACAGTACTGAGTGGAGCCTTGATGGTTCCAGGTGAAGGCTACTCTATATGTGGTTTCTGAATTCAGGCACGTTTGGGCTGCTGTCCAGATTATCAGGGTTTTACTGTAACCATAGCTTTTTGTTTCAGGCACATGTTTGGACTCCTGCGGACATGGGTTCCATGGTACAGGATCATCCTGGGTCTCACCTGCGCCGTGTTTGCCTACTTCATCATAGTCATGGTGGGTACCGACAGTGAACTGACTACCACGTCACTGCTACTGCCCTTACATTAGGTTGTAATGGCCTAAAGCTGTGAGATTTGAGCACTTGGGTATTTTGGTGCCTGAAATATTCACCTTATTGATATTCAGGTTAGATGTCCCTTGTGAGGTCCAATGCTGAGGTCAGACTTGGTGCTGTGACTGGAATACTTGAGGCAAAGTTTCACATGATCTGCAAATATTTGCAAGTTTCTACTTGTCGTGGGTTTGAATCCCAGATTCAATTCAAATAAGAACTTTGGTTTGTAAACACCATACCTGTGTTTCATTAGGCTTGTCAGCATCTCTCACCTTTGCCATATAAAGCTCTGCTCATACCTGAAGCTGACACACTGTAAAGTTAATGAAGTACAGACTTGTTAAACACACTCCCTTCCCTTGTCATAAGAGGCGACTAACTGGATCAGGTGTTCAGCCTTGCTGACTTGGTTGACACATGTCATCATATCCAAGTTGCGTAGATCAAAGTTCATGATGTTCATCACTGGATTTTGTCTGGTCCAGGAATGATAATTTACAGACTGCCACCATATAGCTGGAATATTGCTGAGCGTGGCATTAAACAACAAACTAACAAAATACTAATATTTCCAGCTTACATGCTGAGAGTAGATATGTTTAATCATAGCTTCAAGTCTACCCCTTTGATCCCACCACTACAGATGATCTTGTGCTGTTCTCTGACTGTTGTGTAATGCTGTGCTTGCAGTGCCTGGTGCTGTGCCACGTCCTGCACGGCCACCAACTCTACATCCACCCAGTCCACATCGCTGTCATCATCTTCAGCCTGCTAGGCTGCGTCGCTGTCACAGTTGCCGTGGAAATGATGTGGCAGTCTGAATGGACGCTAGTATTACTCTCTCTTAGGGTGAGTTCCCCTCGTCACCTCCACTTTAGTTCCAGATCTTTATTACCCACGTGGTCAATATGTGGGAAGTTGCATACTGATCTTGTACGCCACACGAGTGTCGTATCGCGTTGACCTGTGTCGTAACTAGTGGTGTTCCGATGATCGATTATAATCGAAAATTGATTGGTTACCCTTTTCCGACGCGACAATCGATTGCAAAATTTCATAATCGATTGTCGCTAATAATTTTTACTAAAACAGTAATGAATACCCAACTCAGACAACAAGACAACTGGCAGTTACAAATGATTATAACTTCGGTCCGCATTATTCACAAAATTCACAATCATATTGCGTCTACTTACGCCTTGAAATGAAGTGAAGTTGACTGAAAATGGATACACAGTGTATATATTTTGTTTCGCTTAATGTCATATTTATTGTAGCTGTCGATCACAACAAACTGGCATGCACACTCCGGCGCAGCGATGACTTGCATGTTTACCTCATTCCATGAGCGTACAACTGCTGCTTAGCTGCTTACCTTGTTCATGACGGACGTATCTAAATACATAATAACCCAGCTGCAGAATGTAAAAAATAAACAAAAGGAACAAAAAGTCTAAATAAATAATGATCTGCCAGTAATGTGTTAAGATAAATAAGCGAAGTTTTGGTGAAATCATAATTGTTAGCTTTCGCGCCAAACAAAACGGCGGCTGCCGACCGGGTTGATGTCGATGAAATATTCAACTACCCTTGCGAGAAAGGCAGATCCAACGTTTGGAAGTGTTTCAGATTTTGGAAGAAATGTCAGGGGTCCCCAACGAAGGAAAAACTTGACATGTCAAAGGCGATTTGTCGTATTTGTCGAAAGGAATACGCAAACAAAGGTATCGACTCATAATTTCGTGATACTATCAAGTGAATGGTCTAATAGAAAAGTATCATCATGTTATACGTGCATGATATGAATCCGTCCATACTCTTAAGTCTATTACTATCAGTACGAAATTTGAAACTACACAATACATACAAACAAATTGAAACGTTATTGAAAACGAATGACATGTAGGCCTTGTGACATGAATTATCGTAAATCAGGTTAAAACTTGAGTACCCTTTTACTTTGCTATGTCAGAGTCAATTTTGGATATATATCTACTTGCAAACATAAAATATATGAAATAAATCCTGAAAGTTGATTTCATAAATGATCAGAGATTATTTATTTGTCGAAATCAAGAACATAATTGATATTTGTCTTGTACTTAGTCGACGAAAATATATGTTTGTGTCTATATATTTCGAATTTCAATGAATTTTCTTCCAATTTCGTAGAATTTCTAGTGAAACGTATTCGCGTAGTTTAGGCTAAAATTTGTAGTCACTAGTATGATAAAATTGTTGAGGTTGGCATCTCTGGCATTGATGGTAAATAAATAATAAACCATAAAAAGAACAAATTCTATTTTTCCTTATCCTGACTCATGCTCTTTTTGCTTGTCTTCTTCTTCTTGCGAACATAGTGGAACACTTGTATCTCCCTAATTGAAGCTCCCTTCAATTTAAAATCACTAATTAGTATTCACCACGAGTTACCTCCTTTCCACAAGCGCGGGAACGATGGCGCCACCTCTACCCATGTGCCTCACTCTCTCCTTCTTCGCCCAGTGAGCTGGACGTGAGAGCGCCTGTGTCTCCCGACACACTATATCCTTTGATTATATTTAGTTAGTTACCTCGTATAGACATCTATAGAGGTTTAGCTAGTATCCTTCAATCCATTATATATTGATATTTAGTCGTTTTTACAGTTTATTCACGGGCCGTGTTTGTTTTCAGTGGATTACGCTGATGAAAATTCTGTACTATTGCAGATTACGCTTTTTATGCTGCTGCTGATCCGCCTTTAATATGATGTGCACGGCCATGTTTATTATATTCACATTGCAGTTGCGTACTAATTTATCCAATTCTACCTTTTATTAATATTTACTTTCGCGTTTGGCACGCGACAGCAGATAGGTCGCGATGCAGAGTCTAGTATGACTGATACATCGGAACCCCTCGCCAGTCTACTGCTGTTGGCCGACTCTCTCCGTGTGGTGTTCCGCTAGAGTGGTGGAGAGGTGTGGGGACGTGAGTCCGCCATCTCCAAGAAGCATCCTGCTTCCCCAGACATCCCATCGCCGCAGCAGAAGACTAGAGGGTTTTTCTACTACATCTCAACAGCCGACCGTTCCTCATCGCGAAGTTTTGGGCCTGTATGATGATCAGCCGGTCATCATACCGGATGTACATCAAAGATTGACCGATGTCGGCACAGATCAGCATGCAGCCTGATGTACCAACGCAGATATGCGATGATGCGCCCTGAGGGTCCCATCATTACCAACACTCAACGCAGACGCCGCGACACCCAGGGCAGCGCCGACCTCTGAGGGAAAATCAACGAAGTCTACTAGGACTTTCTCAACCGAGATTGTTCCAGCCGATGACCTGGACCTCTCACGATGATCAGCTGATCATCATCCCGACGCATACGCCACAAGAAACGACCGGTGACAGCTACAACGACATCAGCAGAGATCACCATGCAGCCTGATGCCTCTACACTGATGTCGGACGATTTTCCAGTGGACCCTCCATTAACACCGCAGATAAAGCACCGGACGACCTGCATTCGCCAGACCATCCCAGAAGACATGATGCGACAAATTATGAACATCATGGAGGACCACTATAATCTCGCGGTAGCAGGTCCGAGCTCTTCGCGAAGGCTCCAACGACAGCACCCCAGAGGCACCCCCGTCAACGTAGCAGCCAGGACGATGTCACCTTCGCGAAGGAAGTCACGGACCACCTTTGACGGAAGGACCTAGATGTACAGTTTTCAGCGAAGGCCTTCGCTAAGGCAGAAAGGACCTAGATGTACAGCTCTTCGAAGGCGAAAGAACTTAGATGTACAGCCTTCGAAGCGACTTCAAGGCAGGATAGATCATCACCTTATGCAGTTTCATCCCTAGATGTGGACTCGGTCCATCAGACATCACGGAAGCCTTCGAAGGTCATATCGTCGTTCCCCGGACCGACGAGAGGAAGCTTCGCTAAGGCATGCCGGGCGACACCTGAATCCAGATCATCATCATCTAGAAGGACATCGAGGGACTATACAAGAGCCGCTGAAACTATCAACGTTCCCCTCACAAGTCTCGAGAAGATCAACCCATAGACAAGTTGATCATCGATATCAAGTATAAGAACTACAATCGTATATTGGTTCTGTTGAATCCATGACGCAGGCGGTATGTTAAGCTGGCCTAAATAGATCTAGAACGATCAATTAGACACTTATCACCAGACTTCGTAGTAACCGACTTCTGAATATGATAAGATGATCCATGCCCTATTTAGGCAAGCGCTTCACGATCCCCACATCTTGTTAAACACAGAGGCTGTTCACGAAGCAAAGCGCATATATATATTTATATATATATATATATACTAATCGGGCTTTGATTTCGACACCTTCGCGATGGTCGCGAAGGCTAAAGTGGGCTCCAAGTCTACTTCACCCAGAAGATCTAGAAGGGATACTTCGAACCGAGCCAAGTCTCGGCGTTCACCGAGGAAGTCTCCTCCAAGGTTTCCAAATACTAGCCACTCGTCATATATAGCTACTTTCGTCAGTCCGTTCAAGGCGTCGCGATAAGTTGATTATCAACTGTATGCCAGATGCCGCCTATAAACCTCACGCGAAGATAATTGCTCAGGCTATTTACAACACAGAACGTCGCTGTATTATTAGTCAACGACATTTCATAGATCTTCACAGAAATCAACTATTCCGGTATAAATTGCTAATATACAATCCCGGACGACGATCACGATTATCTACATGCGTGACCATTACGCATATCTGCAGACAATTCAATATCGAAATTGAACAGCAGCCTTGTTACAGCGAAAGTATAACTCTTAATCGCCAAAGTTTCTGAGAAGAAATATGTACAACAAGTTCAACGTTAATTCTACAATTATGACGATACATTCATGTATACAGTCTACAAGCTCACAACTTGCAAGTTGTTTATACCCTTATATATAAGGAAGTCGGAATTATATTCAAAACTGAAATTACTTTCACGACAACCAGGAAAATAACCTACCCAGCATAAAATTACAGAGCGAGATATTTCGCTACCGGAGGTTTCAAGGCGGTTACCATTAACCCTCGAAACGCGTGGTCACTCTGATAACCGAGAGGAAGCTACGGTGAAGACCGGCGTTTATGCTAATATCAACGACTTAATACAAGAATGTATTCAAGGTGGGTTTTTCCGCTACACCGGTGACATCACAGCGGGTATTATACAGAATCAAAATGCCTTGTTCTGATTGGACCCGGCTGAGGGACAACGACCTACACAGAGGTCGATCTCAATTCACAGTTCAAGACTTACGTCACAAGTGACAACTATATATCAGTGATCGAGCAAGCCTCATTACAGTCCAGTTAACCTGAACATTCATGATTAGACTGCCTTTCTTCAGTTAGAGACCTCCCCTGTCAAGTTAAGACGAGGGATCGGCAGTCGAAGCGATTTTACATAAAGTTCAACGAGGACAGACACACCTGGTTGTGCACCTACATCGCCAAGGACTTCGTAGCATTTAATTACCTAGGCGAAAGATACAAGTGGATCTAAATCCACAGCGTTTCAGACTACAGCTGAATTTCATCGTTTAATTAACACAACTAGATGGTTAGTAAACCTACTAAACTTCTGTTTGGAGAATAAAAGCGAAATTTCATGCCCAACCTGGGATATGAATATATAGTGCCCAACACCTCACAAGTGAGGTTTATGAACACGCCTGGATGACATACTTGGACCCCATGATCACGATGATTCTATCAAGATGGCCAGCAAGAGCACTGTAAATTTATCTCCACCAAACCAAACAGGAGGAAAAAATGCAACAGATTATTTCCTCTATCATCAACTTACGCAGAGTGAAGTCTCATGTACTATATCTCCATTTGGATCAGAACTGTCATACTAACGTGCATATCGCGGATGGACCTATTCCGACCC